TATTCAAAGAAATGAACATTGAAGGTTAAAAATACATCTGATTTGGGAAAAAATCCAGTCAAGAGGCAGACTTAACTTTGGGGGCCCAGGACCAGGGACGTAGCGAGGGGGGTGCGCCCCCAACTTTTCCAGAGTTGACATTTTTCGGGTTCGGATACTATATTTCAAGTTTTTTAAGGAATGAAGCAATACTTCTGTGATTTCAAAAAATAACATTTCCGAAAATTAATTGATACAAAAGTGAATCGAAATCCTTATTTTTTGTTAATTCAAAAGTCGGAGTTTTTGAAAGTTATATAAGCTGCCGTCTAATTCTTATTGCAGTTACAGCTAAAGACTAAAAGCCAATTAATTTAAATATAGTCGACGAAAGAATTTTCTGATTTATTTTGTAATTCGGCAAATTCGTGGACTTAGATAGAAAATTGTAAATGATTAATGTACCTTTTTGTAGTAATTTCACAATAGAGAGACAGAAAAAGTCTTACGATTTTCGTTAAATTGAGCCTAACTTTTGAAAAGTCATACATTTGAGGGAATTTCGATAATTAATTATTCTATGCTCCGGGCGAAAAATGGTCTAGCTAGGCCAGTAATGTTCAGAAAAATGTATTTTGCTCGATACTGACCTTCGGCATTTTTCTTTTTAGAAAAAAATATTAATGCCTCTGGTATTTTTTATTTGAAAAATAATTCAATCAATCAACGTATTTCTTTACAATATTTTTAAAAAATATGTCATTTAATGAAGACCTTCACTGCACTTTTGTGTCTATTAATAAAACAATTGTAAAAAACATTCCTTGAACAAATGTGTATAACATTATTGGACCAATAAAAAAACGGGTTAAGTCCATAATTAAAAACAAAAGTTTCTTGTTACTTCATATTAGAAAATATAAAATAGTATAAAGGTTGTCGAAGTAAGCCACCAGGAATAATATAATTTGTGCAAATTTCTATGGATAAGACTCTCTGAGCAAACATCAGAAGTAAAACAAGTTTTGAAAAGTTTGCGCTTTGGATTGGATGAAACGATAGAGCTGGTAAACTTTTAAAGGTTTCTAAAGCTTTCTCAATGGCACCAGATCTAGTTGAAGGTCCATTCAAAGGTCCATTCAAAGTGCCTTAGGTGCCACTCATTTTCATGAAAGTATAAGATATATTTGTTTCTACTTCTATTACAAAATATGACCATTCTAACATCACTTTTTAATGTGGAATGACATATGTTTCTTAAAGTGTTAAATAATGAATTATTATATATTCAGATGATGAAATAAACACTGGTGCCGCCATCTCTGTTTTTATTATCCAACAACTTTTAGACCACTTTTAGACCAACTGCACCTGCCTTATTTTTCTGGACTATTAATTAGTTGAAGCTTATCTAATAGGGTGGAGTGAATTTTTTTTTATTTATTAATTGATTTTTCCTATATTATTAATTGTTGACTAAAGGCGTAAAATAAATAAATATCGAAAAAATATTCAAATTTTTTAATATCTTGAGGTGGCGCATCAGTCTCGAAGTTTTGAAAATTTTAAAAAAACATTACTTCAATCAAAGTAATAAAAATAGCATTATTTATAAATAAAAAGTTTATTTTAGTAAAATTATCGTGAAACGTAAACATATTTAATAGTAAATCATATGCTTTAAGTAACTTTAGGAGTGTTTATTGGTAGAAATGAGATCTTCTTTTTCGCGAAAATACTGAAATTTGATATCAAAATTTGGTAATTATTTTCTGACTTTAAATCTTGTTCTGATGAAACCATCTCTTGCTTCCGATCCACAAACCCCGAAAATATTAAAGGCGAGAAAAGAATCAAAATGTTCGAGATTACGGGAATTAAAGCTTCCACAACTAAATACTGAAGCATTACATTTTTACGAGTTAATTCACTGGGTGACAGAAAAGTTGACTGAACCACCTATGACTATGAAATACGATGACAGAAATTACCGATATGATTTCTTCGGGTGACCATTTCCTATACTTCCAAAAATTTCCGTGTCACACCCAAGCAATGGAACGCTGTGTAAAACTGGTTATAACCAGTATACTGAATCTTCAGTCTCGGTTTGTGGATCGGAAGCAAGAGATGGTTTCATCAGAACAAGAATTAAAGTCAGAAAATAATTACCAAATTTGGATACCAAATGTCAGTATTTTCGCGAAAAAGAAGATCTCATTTCTACCAATAAACATTAATGAAGTTACTTAAAGCATATGATTTGTTCATTTTACGCCTTTAGTCAACAATTAATAATATAGGAAAAATCAATTAATAAATAAAAAAAAATTCACTCCACCCTTATTATCTAAGCTAAGTAAAACTAGTGTCAATAAATAGGAATTATTTTTTTTTTTAATATGGAAAAGAAAGCTAGACCGGGCCGAGTTCTAGTAAAATGCTCATTATGTGGATCTGTGTTTAACAAGGACTAGAAAAAAATGCACGAGGAAAATATTTACGGTGGAAATTTGGTTAAAATTAAAACTACTGAAAATTTTTACCATTAATACTAAAGTATCGATAAAAAAATAAGTTGGTTTTTATTATATATTACTGTATACTTGTCTTAATAAGAATTAGGATTCTACATTTATATAAACTTGTGAAATAAAACCGCTATTAGAGGTTAAACCTATAAACTTGGAATAAACCCGCTAACCTATAAATCTACCTGTATTAAACGTGTAAACCTAAACCCCTCTAAAATTAAAAATCTAACTGAACTAATAATCTCAAAACACACATAAAACTTATTGTAAAAACTATATTATTCAAATACAAAGAATATAAAGCTGACAACCATTCTTTGTGTGTTTTATTACTTAATATAACTTTCTCTCGCTGGCATCCTTCCGTTTCCTACTAGACTAGAAGATTACACCTGTTTGGCTCTGGGTTACTACTTTTTACTCGAGTCTAGGGTACTACCCCCCTCGTGCCCATCACAGGTGTAAAATCAAAACATAATTATTTAAAAATAATTCTTTACCAAAATTTATTGCTTTAAGATGTTTTTAACAAATTATCGTTATAAAAATACCCTTAATAAAAAGTTTTTAAAAATGTATTTTTTCCGCCGATAAACCATAGTGATTTTATTATTAATGTTCGGTTTTAAAATATTGTTTAAATTATTAGGGTGACGCATACGCATAAGTATATAGCACATGGGCGACAATAGTGTCATAAGTAAAGCTTTAATTCCGAGATAATGACTGTCAAAGATTTTTGAATAATAAAATTGTCACAAATTTGTAAAATTATATTAACTTGCAGTATTTTCTTTGAAAAGGAAGAACCACACTAAAATTCTGAGCCAGTTAAAAATAATATTTTAGAAAATACTCATTTTGGATACGAGCCGAAGAAGGTGTGCATCAATTTTGGAGATATGCCTGTGTGGCTGAAAATATGAGCATGAATTTTCCAGATATGTCATGTGTTAATAATGTTTTTAATTATTCATTCTTTTATTGTTGATTATGAATAAGAGGAACGTATGGCTGTCCCCATTGGCAACGCCTTACACTGATTTCCCAGGGTAATTTTACCCCCTACTGCTATTGCACAGCATTGCCAGTGTTTGGTGGATCCGAATTTTTTCCCCGATTTGTAAATCTCTCCTAGGAGGTCATGAATGACAGTGGATAGTTAAGGCCACTCCCGGAATTATGTCGCCGGGCCGGGCTATACGCCCGATTTAGGCTATTGAGTGCGAACAAGGAGGAAAAACATTTTGGTTTTTGAGGGACATTGAACTGATCCAAAACTAAGTACAATCTGGAGTCCCCCTCAACCAGGAATTTAGTAATACCCCCATTTAATTGGGGTTCATGAATGGGGCTTGGTTGGTTAGTAAGCTGCTAGGACCTATCCTTGCTGGTCTTGAAGTACTTCCTGTTCGTATGTGTCCGTGTCTCTTTTAGAGTCGAATTCCGAGCTTGCTGACTTTTGGTTCCCTTAAATATGCTTAGTAATCTACAGATATTTATTTATTTAGGATTAGTTTACTTTGCCAAGTGTTTATCTGAACTTAAGTGATTAACGAGGTGATTAATGACTGCTTATTTGAGTTATTTGGCTATGCTGTTCTTATGGAAACTCTTGACGACTTTTTTTACCTGGTGCAGTTATTTATAAGTTGAGGTTGCCAATTTCTCATTAAAATTTAGTATTTGAATATTATTAAGGTCATTCAATTTTGGTAGGTTTACTTATTTGGTTTATTCAGACTAGGACTTCAGGTGCTTTGACAGGCGGGGGTTGTGAAATTATTGCTTAACCTCGACAGCCAACTATTAGCACGTTGTATCCAATCACCTCACTCACACCCTTTTCACACCTTGGGACTTAATTCAGGAAGAGGTGCCACACGAAATTTGCACCATTTTTGCACTGGTAGAATCATTATTTGATTTTGTGAATTTGAACACCGATAGCAGTAGCACTATGGAAGTACGAACGCGTTAAACGAGACCCTAGACACACGACCGTTTGCCTTAAGGTGAGGAGCGACACTTATTCATTATTTTATTGTTGACAACTTTTATTTTACTAACCTACGCTAACAAAATTACTATAACAACTTACAGGTAACTTACTTATGACACTATTGATAAAAATTATGATAGGGATTATACAAATTGCACACAGATACAAGTCTCACCCAGGCATTAATTTTAAAATATCTTTATGCCACTGCTGCAGCATAAAATATGAGTGATTGTACACTTATTCCACTAAAAAAAAACAAAAATGCAGTTTTTAGACTTATGAAACTGTTGTCGCCCATGTGCGATATGTATAGGGATTCATGCTCGAAGATAAGCATTTGTTTAAATTTAAACCATTTGTTTCTTGCCTCTTAGACAAATTGCTGCGTTATTAATTATGCATTCTTTCTCATATTACATCCTTGAAATTTGATTTACCAATTGAATTTCCGACCGCCAACCGTGGGTAATGGGAGTGCTTACCTTCTTCTCCGGAATGCAATTTGATGGCCTCGCCGCTCTCTCGCCGCCACATGATCGATGGCTCCGGGGAACCCCTGGCCACGCAACGAAGATTAACATTTGCTCCTTCGCGAACCACCAAATCTGTGCTGGTTTGGTAGTCTAAAATATCCGGAGGAACTAAACCAAAAAAAGAAAAACATAAAATTTATTTAATAATTTTAATGTTTAATGTATAAACAATAAATAACACTTGTAAGGGTGGTTTTATAAATATGGAAAACTAAAAGAATGTCGAAAGAGGTAATATAAAAACTTGCTTGCATGATTTAAAAAAATAATCTTCTAGCTGTTTGAAAGACGAGTTTTATTTAAAAGTGTCAATAGTATATTGTAGACCTAGTTGGTAAAGTAACATTTTTCAGAGTGAAAAAAAGAAATGACAATAATGTCGACCCATGCAACGAAGTCTATAGTATCTCATTTTCTGTTGAACTGAGAAATAAGCATTAAAGATATTTGACACATGTCATTGTGGGAAATAAAATTATCTGCCCAAGTAGCACAACTAGTTAAATAACTAGCATTTTAAGTAAATTAACCAAAATCTAAGTAAAATAACGTTTTTTCAAACTTGTTTTTTAACCAATTGGTTGTATTTAACAATTAACATTTTTTTAAGATAACTATGAACTTAAAAACAACCCTTTAAATTTACCAACCGGTTGCTATAACCTTAAAGTAAACTTAAAGGTTATTTTTTAGTATAATTTAACTAATCTAAACCTATTGGTAATGTTACCAACTAGTTAATTATTTGGTTTATTTATAGTCAATTTAAACTCTTAAAATAACCTTAATTTACCTTTAGGTAAATTAAAGTTATTTCAATAGTTTAAATTGACTATAAATAAACCAAATATTTAACCAGTTGGTAATATTACTTATATTATAAAAGGAAGGTTATTTTAGAAGTTAAATAACGTTATATTAACTGCATATTTTAACCATTGAAAATAGTTAAGAGTAGTTATTCTTTTAGACATATTTTGGTTTAGTTTAACTTTTGATATAACTTTTTGATAAATTAACTACAGCATTGGTTAATTTGGATATATTTTTTTAACAAACAAGTTATATTTTAACAAATATATTTTAACTTGCTGTAAAATTAAAGTAAAATAATAAACTGGTTAAAAAAGTGATGGTTTTGATGTTTTTATTGTTACCTGCATAGAAAAATTAGTCTTTATACAGCTTTATATATAAACCTACAGTAGAAACCACCAATATATGAACGTGACTCATCGGGTGCCGAACATATCTCAGACATGCTAGCAGTAATGTTTTACTTGTCTTGTACATTCGATGCAGCGGTAAATGTACGTAGGTAATACGTAGGTTTTTAAGCATCCGGTCTAAAATGCGCCATCTGTGATGTAAAACTGCCTAGGTGTTGGACAAAGATGGACATATTACGCGTGTCCTAGCTTGTTACTTAATTTTGTTGGAATTCAGTAGAGTTCGTGTTTTAGGAATTTATTTTATTTTATTATATAGTAAGGCAACCAAGTCTACCGTCGGTCATTTGTTTTTATATGTCATATGATCTTTGTTTTTGCATATCGTTTTTCTGCTGTGTGTTTACGGATTAATAATCGTTTTAAACGTTGTAGTGGCAGTGATTTATATTATGTAACACAGGTAGATGTCGTATAAAAATCCTTACCTAGAAATTCTAGGCTAGAATACAAAAATATTTTTATTAGGTGTATAAATTTTGTACTAGTATTAGTTTAATACATTCTGAAGAAGCTACTGTGTAGCGAAACAATTGTCAATATTTAATAAATTTCGTGAAACTAACGCAAGTTGTTTTTATATCCACACAATTTAAATATCTTTCACTTTGTACCTGACCTGCGTAAACATTTTTGTTTTTTGTCACCAATTCTGAAATATTTGCGTTTACAGTTAAAAGAAAAGTATATTCTGTAACAAGTTTGGAATACGGCATATTCCGCTCGAGTGAAAAGTTTGTCACACGAGCCGAAGGCGAGTTTGACGGTTTCACGAGAGGAGAATATGCAATTCCAAACGTGTTTCAGACTATACTTTTTCTACGTTTCCAAAAAATACCATAGACAAAGAATTTAATTGGAAGAAAGTGAGGTTGGATCGTTCTAAAATTTGTTAGATATTAAAAACAGAGATGTCGCCACGAGTGTACATTCTGTCATCAGATGATAGAATATTTCATTAAAGTTAAAAGAAAAGTTTATTTATTAATTAGTTTCTAAGAAAATTACATTTTATTTAATTATCGTAGATGTTAATTATTAAAATTTAACTTTAAAAGCAAATATATCATAAGTATAGCAACCAACATTACACTCAAGAAATAATTTAAAAAAATGTAGACTTTCTTCAACTTACTATTATAGAAGAGTTAAAAAAGTTTTAAATCATTATTTATCTGCAAATCTTAAAACAATTCCCTCACATTTAATTAATTTGGTAAGCATCTATAGGTTTTATCACAGAACAGACGCGTTTTATGAAAATAAAGCAGTGCTGCAACTCAACCTCACTTTTTTAGAATCTCATTTATTTATTAGCTAAAGATTGCATTAAATGTACAATAATTATTATTGATTTTAGAAGCAGTAATAGTTTGACAATACCTAGCTACATGAATAAGTAGAAATGGATTTTTGCTATTACATTGAATTCAATTAATTGTTTAATAAATAGGTAGGTATCTAATTTCAATTTTTTTGGATTTATATTTAAAAAATAGGTAGTTTGGAATGATTAAGCTGTGTTTAATATTTAATTTCACTGAAAACTTAAAGATTAGTGATGCCGCGAGACAAGACGAGACGAGAAAAGTCCTTCTCTCGTCTCGTCTCGTGCAGCGAGAGAAAATGGGTCTCTCGTCTCGTCGAGAATACTCTTTTCTCGCTCGAGAGTGCCTTTCTCTCGTCTCGTCTCGTTTCTCTCGTGGTAAAAGTACCTAAGTATGAATACAAAAATTATTTGGAATGAAATACGAATTCATTTATATTTTTTTATATACTTAGAAATTTAAACTGCCAATAAAAAAAAATGTGTGCCAAGACCACACTAATAAAGTAAGACTTTTTACCCCGAAATTGTCGCGCATTTGAATCAAATGGTTGGATCTATGTGGAGTAGTTACATCTAGTATAGGTGTCTCTTTTAACTTGAGACAGCTCAATATCTCGTGAAATACGCATTTCACAAAAAAATTTCTTAAATAAAAGGTTAATGTGACCAAATGGGACATTATTTGGTGCTACCGCTAGCCACCCCCTACCCCTTCTTAAAGGTGAAACGGGGGGTAAGTAACTTTTATTTGAAACTTTTTTTCAATTTATCAACAGATGGGGCTGTAATTCAAAATTTAAGAAAATTGGATTTCCTTGTAAAATGTATTATTTGAAACGTTTGAAAAACAAAAATTAACATTAAATCAACAATAGTCGGCTCTGAAAACAATTTATAACAAATGTTCAAAATGTCATCCTTTCATTTCCACACATTTTTTAATGCGGGTAATTAATTCTGGCTCCACCATGTCCTCCGAAGTTGTAGGAATTGCAACGTAAACTTTTTCTTGGGGGTGGCTAGCGGTAGCACCAAATATTGTCCCCTTTGGTCACATTAACCTTTTATTTAAAACATTTTTCCGTGAAATGCGTGATCCTTGAGATATTGAGCTGTCTCAAGTTAAAAGAAACACCCTATATCGGCGCAATAGTTTTCAATGGATCAAATCATTTGATCCATCCATCTGAAAACTACTGCGCATATATGATGTAACTACTCCACATAGATCCAACCATCTTATACCTACTGCGCATGTCCGTCATTTTGAATCCGCAATTTTGTTTTTTTTAATGGATATCAAATTCTGAATCAGGGACCCCATAAATATCTGAATACTAAATTTTACCCAAACCATTAAAGCCGAACGACAAATTTTCGTCATATTGTGTCAGCCATTTTGTTAAAAAAAAATGGATATTAAATTTGTAATCAGACCCTCAAAAACCACATGTTGTTGATAAGTTTATTGAATAAGCAATGCTTATTAAGCATACGGGTTTTTTTAAATAGTATAAGGAGTGCCATAGATGTGCTTATACAGGGTAAATTTTAAAAATTATTATTATTTTATAAGTAATTTTTTCTTGGTTAACGTTAAGTTATAAAATAATACAACGTTAACCAGGAACAAATTTTGTTTATTATGAAATGCGAATAATGTTCTCATTGGCAAAATTATAATTTTTATGTAAAAAAAATTGTTTACTTATTACCGGAATAATCGAGAGAACGAGAGAGATCGAGAGAAACGAGAAATTCTCAAGCGAGAGAGGGCATTCTCTCGTCTCGTCTCGAGCCTTTTTTCGAGAGAAAATCGCCCTCTCGTCTCGTCGAGACGAGACGAGACGAGACGAGAGGCGAGAATCTCTCGTATCGGCGGCATCACTATTAAAGATAATTTAAATCGTAGAAAAAGAATCGTGCGTTTCTTTGGTTACCTAACCTCACTTTTTGTTTTATTATTCATACCTATTTAATTTTACAATAATTTAATGAAAAATATTAAACATTAACAGTAAAACAAACAAATTAGTGCTTATTATAAATAAATTAAACCAGTTTAGTACGTTAATTTCTTAGAAAAGGATTAAATTGTCAAAACAATACCCCTAGCGGGAAAAAATCGAACTAATTACTTGCCTCATAAAAATTTTTATCGGCCTAGGCCATAACAAGGTATTTCTTTATCGAATGTTGACAACAATAAAGTTTAAATTATAGACCGCGTCGAGATAAGGATTATTTATAAACATTTATAATTATATAAAAATGGCCCGATAAAAATAGATAGAATTAGGTATATGTATTTCTAAAAAGCCAATTATCAGTTTGTCCTTAAGTCTTTCGCATGTCGATCAAATAAACAATCATTTTATTAATTCTATCCCGAATCTAAGTCCAGATCCAGATATTCTTAACTTTTATAATAATACAAAAATTGGCAATTCTACTTTCAGTTTTAAAATGGTCAATGAAATTGATGTCCTTGTAATTATCTCCAATAAATGCATCGCGTAGCAAATTTGCGTTTGAATGACAGTTTTATT